CTAGGACGACCACTACGCGGTCGGTCGTCGGTGGTGTTGGTGGTGTCGGTGGTGTTGGTGGTGTTGTGGCGATATTGCAAACGATATATCGTTCTGACGTTGACATTGAATGCATTTGCAATGACCTGTGCACTCTGGCCTGCTTGCAGTCTTCCGATCGCTTGTTGTCTCTCATTTCCTGATAATCTTGGCATGGCTGATGAATCGAAATAACGAAAGCCAGCTTAACAGTTTTGAGTGTCTTTTATACCCTTCCATCCACGATATGCACGTGCATCATGTTTTTTACAAGACCTTTTCGCAACTGAGTCCCATTGCACTTTTGTAGGCTGCGTTTGGGCAAAGCACTCCATTTCAAACTCAATTGTTAAATGGACTTTAAGGCAACAAAAAGAAGCAGTAGAACGTAAAATGAGTTTACTGACCACAGAACAGGTAACTGCCACTGTCTGTAAAGTTTTATCAGTATTTTCAGAAGTGACGGGTTTTTTTGCCTTTCAGTGTACATGAACTGATTTGTCATGAAACTTATGATTTGAAGTAAATACCATCACTCCTTTCAGTGCAACATTCATGCACAGTATTTTACAAACTAACCATTTAAATATGCATCTACACTTTCAAAAGGTAACCAAGGCATTCAGCTATTCTGCCAGCAAACAAAAGAAAACATGCCAACAATTTCAATTTTTCTTCAAGCTTTCTTCAATGCGATTTATTTCCCTTTTCCTGTTCTGGAACGTCCTTCTCGAGAATCTCAGCTGATCTCCTTCTTCATGCATTCGACTCTGCAAGCAGTGTCAGAGCAGATTTTCCCTCAGCATCTCTTGCTTTCTTATCAGCAGAACCGATTTGTGTGTACAGTGGCTTCGAGGATCTTTTTTTCTTTTCTTTGCCTATGTGAACTCTTCAGAAAGTCCTTTCCTTTTTCTAGACTTTGTGCTTTTTGTGCTTTAGTTTCTTTTCCAAGAGATGCAGCATGTACCTGTTACTTGAGTATTAACATGAAGCAAAAAGAGCAGGTGTGATCTCAAACTCTGACAGTTTCTTCCCTGTTGATGTCATTGAGTCATGAACTAGTCTTTGTGCTGTAAGACTCTCTTCAGCAAAGTAAGGTAAAATGACATCTTTATTAACCAGAAATCCACCTTCAACAGAAGCCTGTGCATGGGAAAGTGTAAGGAAGATATTCACAACTTCCCAGAATTCTGCTTATTCCTGTTTCCATTCAAAGTGCCTTGAAAAGAAATGATCCAGTCTTGTGTTAATAATGTTGAACCCTGTGAAATCGTCTTTATCGAACATCCGTGACTTTTCAACAAAAAGCTTGAACTGAGTGAGGATGATGTCACATTGCTGGGTTTTTTTTCCATTTGGTTTCAGACAGTACGGTAAGAACCTTCTCAAACATTTTGTTTATAACACCAGGTTCAGAGATAATGTGTCCTGGGTCCAAACTTGTCACGAATCTGATAAAACTATAATACAGTGGGGAGATTTCTTGCAGCTTTAGACCACCTCCGTGGTCTAGTGGTAGAGCGTCTGCCCAGAGAGCGGAAGGTCTGAAGTTCGATCCCCGGCCGCGTCATACCAAAAGACGCTTAAAGATGGTACTTGTTGTTACCCTGTCTGGCGCTCGGCATTAAGGGGCTAAAGCAAGGACTTGTCGGCTCGGAGTCAGTATACTGTGTCTGAGTGGGATATTCATGTTAAACTGCGGCATGGTATCTCAGTGAGCTAGCACTATAAATCGGCATCAGTCCGGACTAGTACAAGCAGCCACACACACACACACACACATACATGCACGTCGCTATATAAATGCAATAATCTTGGATACTACGTTAAACCCCATTTAACCTCACCTCACCTCTTGCAGCTTGCATTCCTGAACTATAGTACTTTGAGGGCACTAATTCATTCAGTGCCTTGGAAACAGCAGCCTTTGCCCAATTCGTCTTCTGAACTGTCCGAAATGCATCATGAACTGTGTGCAGACGGCACGATCCAACTTGAAGAAGCTCAACATCAATATCCACGGCACTCCTCTTGATTCTCTTTGGCTGTAACGTCTACTTTAGTTAGTTGTAAAGGGGTCTCTGCAGATTCAATAAACAGTTGGGATCATGTGCAATAAATGGCAACAAAAGTGGTAAGCTGATCATGAACTGCATGTTTCACAGCTACAAAGGAAGAAGATTTTGGAATTGAACTCTTGGGTTTCTCAGTTACATACTTAACCATGCGTGGCCAAATAGAAATTGTCTGTTCTGCAACATTTCTACCTTCCATCCATCTAGTCCATCAGAAGTGCATTGGAAATACCAAAGACTTAGAGATGCTTGTATAATCTTCTCTTTTAGCAGGGGAATCTTAAAATAACCTGAACATTCCCTTCAGTAGTGAATCGTTGCCAAATTCGTCTCCTGAACTGTCCTAAATGCATCATGAACTGTGTGCAGACTGCACGATCCAGCTAAAAGAAGCTCAGGCTGGTCTGCATCTGTTTCCCTTTCCTTGACAGTGTGCTCATACATCTTCCAGTTTACATTTGGCCCGTTCATGGAAACTTGAAGCATCTTCTTAGAGGAAAGGTCCTCTGTTCCTTCTTTGAATTTTGTTCACACATTCTTAGTAGGAGTGTGCCAGATGAATTTTGACCCTAAATATCTTGATGTGACAGTGTCCTCGTTGAAGTACCTGACTACAACATGCATTTGCTCTTTTTGTACCTCCTTGTTGAGTGACTCATAAAAACATATGACGTAATGGAGGGCGTTTGTCACCTCTTCCGTGAGTTTTCCTTTGAAATAAGGTGCAATAACAAAACAAATAACATATGGTAGTTTGATTGACTCACATTTCAATTGCAGGACAATTGCACTGTCTTGGACCATTACCCTGAAAATGTCACAGGTTTCACGACTTGAGTTGTTTGAAAATGGCCCATGTAATTCCTGCTTTCTGGTTTTCTTTTCTCAGAGCATACTTGCGGATACTAGTAGTATGGCTACGTGTTGCTACAGATGCAGCTGGCGGCGGCACAGTTATATCTGCCAAACTAACAGCATTACTTGTATGGGTATCTGGATCAGTCTGAGGTTCATTCTGTAAAAATGTTGCTGCTACTTCAGGGGGCTTTGCTTCATCCTTCTGTGACATAGGACTTACAGAAAAATGTCATTAAACCAGATCCCTCCTTCCGCATAATTGCATATGTATGTTTCTTCCCCTGGGCATGACTCCTGATTGCAACCTCTCCCATGATAGAGAGTGAAAAAACATTCAAACAAAACTTGCAGTTTGCTTTTGTAGGGTCTCCTGGAACTTTGGCTAAACACTGTCTGTGTCAATCACATTTCAACCAGTTCATATTAAACTAATTAGTCATGATCTTGAGCTGAACCTAAAATTAAAGATTGCAAAAATTCACAAGGGAATACATAATAATAATAACCACATTTGAAGTCACCTTAAGTTTGTTTACTAATGATTTATCTAAAAAGGATACTCTATTAATAAACAAAAGGAGTATTCATAGAATCCTAAAAGCAATTTTTTTTTTATTCTTGAACAGTCGAAAGTTGTGAGATTTGACATTTTACATTCAAACTGATTTCTGAAATTCAAATTGTAAATTAAATCCAAGGCAATGTAACATGTAAGCATTTGAAGTTTAGAATTTAGCTCTGGAGGTAAGGGGCGCTGATGATTCCCTGCATTGAATTTTTTTCAGCCAATTTCCAGGTTTTCCAATGGCAATGGGAAACATGATAGTTGTTGTCAAAGCACAACGTGTCATTTCAGATTACATTTCAATCTAATTGTCAATATGTTGTCTATGTTCTCCTTCAACTGCGGTCTTTGCAAACTGAAGGGTCAATGCATCTCTGATGTCTGTGCCACTTGCAAATAGGATCCCTATGTTGTCTGTGGTTCCTGGTTGGACTCTGTGTATATCTTGGACTGCAACATGCCAGTCTGGTAGGTAGGGTTCATCTTTGTTTTAAACAGGTTGTGTAGTGTGACAGCTGCAGCCACAAGGGTTTATATGAAAATGAAACCTCCTGAGGAAAGGCCTGTATATCCCTTTGAACCGTCCGAATGTATTCTTAATTGTCACATGCATGGGTACTGCTGAGCTAATTTAGATTTTGTTTCTAGGTTTAATGTCCAAACCAATCAAGCAATCTGCAGTGAACCAAAGTAAGTAAGAAAGTAGCATGACGTATCCTTTTCCATGTATAGCCTGAAGTCATTTGTAATATATACACTTGAAAACTGGATTTGACTAAAAAGATCCAAACGTTTCTAAACGTTACTATGCTGAAAACAGTCACTGAGACATTGAGTGGTCCAAAACACAGCTAACCTCTAAGATGCCCGTATCAAATATATCACCATCAAATATGTATATATTTTTTGTGTATGATATGTTCATGGTATTGAGGATAACGATTAAGTAAAGTGGGTATCCTTTTGAACCGTCCGAGTGTGTTCTTAATCGTCACATGCATGGGTACTGCTGAGATGGTAGTTGGAGTACGACTTGCTGCGAACCCCTGAAGATCTTGGGTAAAATACGTCTTCCGCAACCCATTCTTGCCGTAAAAGGGGACTATGCTTGTCATAAAAGGCAACAAACGGGATCGGATGGTCAGGCTTGCTGACTTGGTTGATACATATCATCGTATCCCAATTGCCTCAACCAAGTCAGAGAGCTTGGCCACCCAATCCCTCTTATGACAAGCATGAGTTGCTGAAGACCTATTCTATCCCGGACCATCGCGGGTCGTTAATTTCTGGTAAGATGTTCAGTCATAATATTTCCATGCCCAGCTTGGTAATAAACTCATTCAGCACCTTGACACCAATACTCTAATCCAGACAAAAATTGAAACGGAACTTCAATGTACGTTTATTTTTTTATTTTAGTTCTTCATATATGCGGTCATTTTAGGGTGAATGTTCGGGATGAATAATTTAGATTTTATTTCTAGGTTTAATAATGTCCAAACCAGTCAAGGAATCTGCAGTGAACCAAGGTAAGTAAGAAAGTAGCATGACGTATCCTTTTCTATGTATAGCCTGTAGTCATCTGTAATATATACACTTGAAAACTGGATTTGTCTAAAAAGATCCAAACGTTTCTAAACGTTACTATGCTGAAAACAGTCGCTGAGACATTGAGTGGTCCAAAACACAGCTACACTCTAAGATGCCCGTATCAAATATATCACCATCAAATATGTATATATTTTTTGTGTATGATATATTCATGGTATTGAGGATAACGATTAAGTAAAGTGGGTATCCAACATAAGGATATTTCTTTTTTCACATAGGTATGTCCTACGTTTAGATTTCTTAAAATTGTGGAAAGTGTCCAAAGTGGATAGTGTTAGGCAATGTGTACAGTGGTGTCATCATATACCAGTAAAGCTTTGGCATGATAAATTCAGGGGTTCTTCTGTTTAAGTCAAGAAAAGGGATCTTTTAAGAATTATATTTCAGTTCATTGTTTTTGTAAAACCTGTAACCTGTAACAAACTGAAGATTGTTTATATATCATTTCCTACTTGTTTGCCCAAATTATTTATATAGCCGTAAAAAGTTCATTGACCAGCATTACTATCTCTACCCTACCAGCGAAAAGTGGTGTCACTTATTATCAACACATTATGTTAGACACATTACAGGTCTTGGTTTATATTTGTAAAGATGCTCTGTATATCTTGTATGCTAAGCCATAGTGCTGAAATTATTGCTGCGCACAGTATTATTTTTATATTTAGTACCGTTGGTTATGAGGCTAGAGATGCTATAGAAATTTATCATCTGTCACCTTTTTGTTCTAGGAGAAAGAAGTGTGGTGAACTATGGGAATGTTGATACAATACGAACGGGAGATCAATTTTTCTATTATACAGGTAAGATATTGAATGGTAAGCTTTGGCTATATTTTTAGATGCCTTTAACGCACAATTACGACCACCAGTATTAGTAAAAAAACTATGATATGTTTTAAATATTAGAGAACTTTTTAGAAAACTGTAATAAAAATGTGCCAAATGTACAAATCAGACACCTTGATATTCAATATTTATTATCAATGTTTATGTTGTCCAATTAACGTTCAGCAAATGAATATCGACTGTGTATTACCACACTTATGTGTATTTTCTTAAACCAGCACCTAGTAATGTTTGTTGAAACAAACGCGCTTTCTCATTGGTTATTATTAGAATATGAATTGCCTTAAATATTAAATGAAAAGTCACAAAGATTAAACATAATTTCAGTCCTTGAAATAACACATTTATGAGATACAGTCTGGAAAACATGTAATAAATGCAAATGTTTGTGTGCATGTCATGAGTAGTATGCATAAGAAAATGAAACACTTTTATAAACACTTCTGATTAACACTAGGGTAGCAATTACGTTCTTGCAATTAGAATGTCAATTTTATATGACCTATGTTTGTAAATTAAAAGAGACAAAGCCCTTTTCATACTCATAAGAAATCTCTGCTAGCCACACCCAACAATGCCAATGCTAATTATATCATTTCTTGTTTGACGCATAGATGATAAAAGCGGGCGCTGGCTAACTAATCTGTGTGGTGAGTATGGTTGGCTTTTTAGTTCTATTTTGTCTGTATATTGCATGTACCGTTCTAAAACACAATGGAACAATTTTTCGCAAGGAACTCCACATATACTTAAGAATTAAAAGTCTGTTTGGATTGGTTCATTGAAGTATGGACGATTTTAACGCGCTGGTTAAACTGTGTGAACCCCTGGCTTGTGAGGCTCTTAGGAACACTTAGTTACACTTCAATTCTTATAATTTCATGCATTGTAGTTTACTGGTCTCGCCGAATAATATTGCAACAATACTTTCTTACTTTGAAGTTCTCTGGTTTCGTGGAAAAAACTTCGAGCAATGTCACTTTGTCATTTCTCATTTTCGGGTTCTCGGTCACATCCTTTTCATCACTCATCCCCAGGTAGTCAAATAAACTAGTTCCTTCAATAAAAACAACATAAGCTGTAATGTATATTTTTAACATGAACATAATTGAATTCTGTTACGTGTCGATTCCCAAATTGAAACAATGTGTTAACCCAGAAAACAGTACGTAAAAGATTTAAGTGTGGAATACAATCAACAAATGTATTACAAAATTCACAAGGTTTGCAAATCAATACAAATGACTGAACAGTAATTACAGTAGTAGCAAACAATAGAGTTGTAGTACAATATTCAATGCCATAATATAATAAGATGGCAGTGGTCAGTGTCAAATACACAAATACAGTGGTGATAGAAAAAGATACTTAAAATATTGTATAATCACCCAGCGGCGACAGTGGTCCACCTTCCGAGATGGGCTAGGCAGGCAATCGGGAATGATGAGCGATCCTCACATGAAAGCTGGTACCGTACCGATGGAAATGCATGAGAGATGTATGTGTTTAAACACGCTATTGTCCCCTTATATACAACCTAGCCAGCCACTGGAAAGTTCAAGACATTGCCCTCACCAGTCCATCAGCACTCGGATATTAAATACGTTTCCACAACAGCCTGTCACCGTCCACGGTATATGGACCGGAAGTTTACATACCGTACTATCATCTAAATATAGTAACTTCCTGACGACTGATCACTGTATAAACACAATGCAATGAGCGTCTACCGAATCTCAACAGAATCAATGACTCACAGTTGCAATCTTTTTTTTTTAAATAATAAAATACACTGCCGTATAAGAGTTCTCTGAACATCTTGACAAATATTATGTAGGATAAATCACATCTTGAATAAATAGAGCAGGAAAGTGAATAAACATGTAAACATGAGTCGATGCACTGAGACAAGGTCAACCGTCATGTGCGGATTAATGTATAAAGTCACAGAAGTTTGTAAACAGCTGTTTAACGCAAATTTTATTGAGCAGTTTTTGAAAAGCATGAACCTTCCCATTACAGACAGAACATACATTGATTTTGTCTCCGCCTTCCTTGTATTTGTGAAAAACATCTTTAAACAGTCAAATATTTGGTGATTAATCACATATCATAATTCAATTTGCATACTAGTATGTTAATGATAATGACATAGGTGCTCTCTGAATTTCAGATAACACTGCCAAAGCCATCCAATCATTTACAGAGGACATGATAAAAATATCAGCTGTTGACAAAATCACCGAAAAGCTGACATCTGGTGTGAAATGGATACCAATAACTGGCAGTCCTGGGGAAGGGAAGACAACTCTAGGCTACCTGATCCTGAAGGAGATGAAGGAGAAAGGATGGAATGTTTGTGTACTCACGAAACCGGAGGATTATGATACAGTACATTCATTTGCTGAGGGAAAGACTCTGTTTATGCTTAACGATGTCTGTGGACCATTTGCATACGACCCTTTTGCCTTGAGTACGTGGAAACAATTCATTATTAATGTACAGGAAAGGAAAAGTTATCAAGATACAGAAGCCTATATTTTTATAGGTAGAGAAAACGTTTTCAGGGAAGTTCGAAGACATTTTGGAAAACATGAGGAAAACATTTTTGGTAGATGGTTTAATCTGAGTGACCAGGATTCGTTTCTGTACAATGAACGTATGTACATTCTCAACATGCACTTGGATAAAGGCAAAGTCAATGTGAGAGAGCTCGACCGGGTTAAAGTGTGTTCACTTACTGGTCCACATGGTTTTCCTCATTGTTGTAAGATGTTTGTTGAACTAAAAAGCAGGGGAACAGACGTAAACATTATTGAATTCTTTCAAAACCCTCTTGAGTTCCTGGGTCAAACTATCAAAGTTCTTCTTTTGGAGAAACACACAAACATGTTTTTGAAAGAAATGATAAACAACAATGGGAAGTTTGATGTTGATGAAGTTGAAAATGATGACAAACGGGGAGAAATGAGAGCTGCTGAGAGAAGTCTGTTGGGCAGCTATGTGGAACATGTTGATGATGATGGTATAACTGTGTTCACCCACCCTTCTATATATGAGAGTGTTGCCTTTGGTATCGGAAGGGATGATCCTCTGTTCATAATACAGAAGTGCAACATACCATTTATCTTGCAAAGAATGAGGAGGGAAGATCCAAAAAGTGGCGTACGTTCAGAGGATGAAAGCCCAAACTACCTTCGAATACACGTCTCAAAGAAAGCTGTACTAAAGTATCTGGTTCCCAAACTAACAAGGGCCCTCACAAAGGATTTTCGTGTTCTACAATATGATATCTGCCATGATGAAACAGTGTGCAAACACATATTTGAAGAATTTGTGAGAACTTTCCAAGGGGACTTGCATTCAAGTGCCGAGGTAGGTTTTAATTAACCCTTGAGTGGGGCAAATATACATAACGTGAACATATCTATATTTAGACATCCCGGTTTTAAAATACTTTGGGGAAAATACATGCTTTCTGAAATGAAAAAAAACAAGGCACCCTAAACTTCATGTGTAAGTAAAAGATTGGGACTGAACTGCCGAGAGGTGTAAGTGGTTGACACGTATCGAATGGTTGGAGCAGTCGCGTTTGCTCTGTCAGTGGCAACATCTGAGCAGGGTACGACATTATTTTCATTGGTGCTAGATTCCTGTCATTTCCGAAAACAAGGCATCAAAGTCAGTATCGCTCAATAAATCAATTTCGTTCACCTCAGTAATTTTACAGAATTGTTTTTCTTCACTTGCGTTATTAGTATTGAAAGATAGCCATTACATATCCAAATCACCGCAAGGACAATCCATTTTGTTTCATGTAGCGCCTAGATGTCATCAATCACCAGAACCAAAGCATTTATTTATTTATAAGTCAGATAAAATGTTACAAGACAAGGCAAAAATACTAAATTAATTATATTGTTGATAAATGCAGGTATTAAAAAAGAAATTAGAAAAACGAGTTGGTCGTAAACACCGATCGAGAATACGGGGAAACCCTCGAAAGTTGTTCCGGCAAAAGTTCACACGATCAATTTCACAAAAAATTGTTCACATTGCATGAACTTTTTGGGGCTGTTCACGGGTGTGTGAACTCCAAATATCAGATCACGTGACTATCCCTTTAGCCAATCAGCAAGAAAGGAACAGTGTAAACTTCAAAGTATGAAATTATTCTCAAATGATACGACCTAATTTTTTTTAAATTATCTCGTAAATGTCTGATATCTGTAATTAGGTTGAAATGATTAAATCCATGCCACATTGTTGGGGTTGAAACAGTGTTAAGTGATCCCAAATCATTCATATCATCTTTTACCAAAAAGTATTTATACAGAGAAACTCCTCTGATTGTTGAGTAGAGCTAGAATCTTGGTTGCATAGTATGGCATATACTGTTTCGTTTAACATTTTGTAATATACTGAACAGCATTGAAAACGCACCAGCAATAAATCTTGAAATATTACAAAAACAACTTGAGCAATGACAGATTTTAATTAGAACAGACATAGACGGATTATTAAGAAAGTCGACAAAGGAAACAGGAATATCACACAGTAATTACAATTACGTCATCAGTGTAAGGAAGACACATAGGGTTAAAATGAAAGTCAATATCTGGTATGTCCGCCATTGGCAGCAACACAGGCCATGCAACGTCTTCTCATCGATCGAATAAGTCTGCGAATAGTGTTCTGGGGCATTCCACTCTTGACGTAGTGTATCTTCAAGTTCTCTCAGGTAATCCCATAGATGTTCAACTGGCGATAGATCGGGTGGCAGGGCTGGCCATGGAAGCATAGGCACATTATTGTTCGCTAGGTACTGTGTTAAAACACGTGCTGTGTGCGCTCTTGCATTATCTTGCTGGAAGGTGTGCATATCCTGGTGCTGATGAAAGAATGGGATGACGTGGTTTGCCAATATGTTATTCCTGTAGTAAAGGGCCTAAACTCTTCCACGACAAACATGGAGCTCTGTTCGATGGTTATGACTGATGCTGACCCACACCATGACCCCCCCCCTCCCCCCCCCCCCCCTGTCGATCTGTCTGTACAACGCAGTCATTGTGGTAACGTTCTCCACGTCGTCGCCACACTCGCAGTCGACCGTCGGCATTCCGTAAATGAAAACGGGACTCATCAGAGAACTGCACACCATGCCACTGCCGCAATCTCCAATGACGATGCCTTTTGGCACAACCTTTTTCTGCTGTTTATCTTGGCATTTCTTGTGTCAGTACCCTCTACATTTGCAGCAACAAGTGATGTGGCGTTTAAAAGTCTGTCTTTTATAGCCCTATTCTGCATGCTTCCCGTGAAACAAAACACGTTTTACATGATGTGCACGCAATTTGTTGCGTTTATGCGATTTCGCTCACAAAATAATTAGGAATGTGTTTTGACGAGCTGTTCTTCTTCATGCTTCGCCCAGAACATCATATATTACTCATTCACTTACATATTTTCATATGACTTAAGCCCGGATAAAAATACATCCATTTTCATGGTGGTGCGTTTTCAATGGTGTTCAGTATATATTGAAATGAATCGTATTAATGGTCTCTGTGTCATTCTCACTACAAGGCCTTTTGGTACGACAGGACATGCTTACCATTTTCTTGAACACATGGTGTCATCACTTATTTTCAGTGATCCATTCACACAGTATGTCATCACTATTTTGCCTCCAATTAAATCTGTTTCAGAAGCCACTCGAGACGGACTATCTTCTGGCTTTGGCGTTTTTGAATTTCAGTTTTAGCTGCATTGATCTTTTAACCTTTTCAGGTCACCAATGTCATAGATGTCCATGACGTATTCGAGGAAACTTTACTGCTTGCAGCTGCGAATGTTTCTAACCTAGCATCTGTTAAAACCTTGTTAGATATGGGTGCTGATGTGAATGTCAGAAACAGAACTGGGCAGACAGCACTTCACTTAGCCTGTGAGGCAGACAGAATAGACGTCCACCTTATCAAGTTACTCCTTGCACAGGGTATTAGTGTAAACATGGTTGATAGAAAAGGAAGGACAGCTCTTCATGTAGCATGTGAGGCAAACAGGTTGGACGTCAGCGTTCTTGGAGTTCTTCTCAAAACTAATTGTGATGTCAATATCACAGATAGCTCAGGAGATACAGCTCTTCACAAAGCATGTAAGGGCAGTGGTGGAGACATCTGTATTCTAAAATTACAGATACCCCCCAATGCTGACACCCCCGTACCTGATAATGAAAGTCGCAGGTCAATCGTGAGAGTATGTAGAGCAGGTTTAGATGCGAGGGATCTTGTGCATCTCAGCACCCAATCTGTTGACATCAATGTCCCTTATTCTAATGAAATAACAGTACTTTACTTATTGTGTGTCGGAAATAGTGTGGATTCCGATATTATTAGGTATCTGTCAGATGCAGGCATTCGCATGGGAGTCGAAAATAGGAGAGAAAGTGAATCACTTTACGTAGACAACACTGAAAATAGAGCTACATGTCCATTTGAAGTAATGGTCACAAAAGGGGCTGATGTGAAGATAGCAGACAGAACAGGAACAACAGCACTTCATCTAGAATGCCAGAATATCAGTATGGACGTCTGTGTCATTGAGGCACTCATCAAACACCCTACTGATGTCAACATTGTCAATAAAGATGGAAAAACTGCACTCCACTTTGCATGTGAAGGAGAACGTGCAGATGTCCGTCTTGTGAAGCTACTGGTAATGCACGGCTCTGGTGTGAATATTGCCGACACGAAAGGAAATACACCACTTCACTTGGCATGTTTGAAAGTTTGTATCAACACCCGTGTTTGTGAGATACTTGTCACACATGGTGCAGATGTCAATATGATTGGTGAAAACAGGCAGACACCACTTCAGTCAGCTTGCACAACTTCAGATGTCGACATTGGTCTAATTGATCTTCTCATTCAACACAACGCTAATGTCAACATACCAGACGACAATGGCAGAACACCACTTTATAGAGCTTGCACAACTTCAGATGTCAACATTGGTCTTATCGATCTTCTCATTCAACACAAGGCTAATCTCAACATACCAGACGACAATGGCGAAACACCTCTTCATACAGCATGTGGCAGATCTGACGTTGACTTTCGTGTCATTGACTTACTTTTAACTTATGGTGCTGATGTCAATGTTGTCAATCCACTAAATGGAATGACGGCACTTCTTTTTCTAGTCAACGGTAAATATGAAGTAGACTTCCGTGTTGTTGAGCTACTTCTCACACATGGCGCTGATGTCAATACTGTTGATGGGGATGGAAATTCAGCACTACTTCACAGATTATTTATGATTACACATAAGGATGAAGGTGTTATTGAACTTCTCATCACACATGGTGCTAATGTTAATATCACAAATGACGATGGGCTCTCAGCACTTTTCTTATCAGGCAGAAATCGCAAAGACTTCGGTGTACTTGAGCTACTGCTCACACACGGTGCGGATGTTAATTCCACTGATCAAAATGGGAGGACAATGCTTCACACAATATTGAATTCCAACAATATTGATGTCCGTTGTGTCGAGTTGCTTCTCACAAAGGGTGCTGATGTCAATATTGCTGATGTAAACAGAATGACAGCATTTCAGAGCATGTGCATTATAGGCAGTTTAGATGTCCGTGTTATTGACCTACTTGTCAAACATGGTGTTGATGTAAATACCATCAAAGAAGATGGAGGTACAGCTCTCCACTCTGCATGTTCTGGTGACAATAAACATGTCCGCCTTGTTACATCGCTCATCAACCATGGAGCTGACATCAATGTAACTAATGAAGATGGAATGACACCACTGCACTTGGCATGTTCGCGAGTGGATGAAATCATAGTATATGATCTGGTGGACAATACCTTACAAAAGGAACTTGACATTCGAAATGAAAATGACTTCCAAGTAATTGAGTTACTCGTCACAAATGGCGCTGATGTGAATGCCACTGATGAATATGGATGGACAGCACTTCACAGACAGTGCAGAGCGAGAAGTGCCGAAGTCCGGGTTATTGATCTACTCCGCAAGCATGGTGCTGATGTCAACATCACCGATGAAGTTGGAATGACAGCACTTCATAGAGCCTGTAAGGCAGGCAGTGGCTTCGATGATATCTCTTTTGAGTTTAATGATGGAGAGAAAGACCAAAGTACAGATGACAAGGAAGATAAAATTCCTGTGATGGAGTATCTCATCAGACGATACATGGCTGTCAATACTGCTGACAAGGATGCGAAGTGCAAAGTTCATGGTGACTTCATAAGGATGCTCGTAAAACTCGGTGCTGATGTCAACAAGGTTGATGCTGATGGAAATACAGCACTTCATATTCTGTGCAAAGGCAAAATGAATGAAAATTCGGAAATATCCAGCCTTGTGGAGAGCGGCGCAGATCTATACAGACATAACAGAAAAGGTTGGATTGCATATTGTTTGCAGAGCGATCGTCTTGTGGTAAGTTTGTCACTGTATTTATAGAAGACTATTACCTGATCAGTTATCTGTGATTCCTTTTCCTTTGTTCAAATGAGTTCAACGCATCAGGTTTGTAATACTGTTCAGTTTGTATTACTGTTATGCATAGTTGTTCTGCAAGACAAGGCTGTCCAATGCATAAATACTCTTCTAGAATCCTATAAACATGTCAAACTCTGACATTGTATTAACCTGTTTTTCTTTGAGTTATATTACATATCATCTATATATTACATTAATCACGCTACGCTATATAATCGGCTCCTGGAAACTGTTACATTGTGTAAGTTTTATCTTAGTGGTTAGTCACGCAACATACTCTAGTATACAAACAAATATTTGATAAACAGTGATCAGGTTATGCACATAATGAATGTGTCTTATACTATTGTCTGATCAACACATGTATGTTTTAGCCGAACAATGTTTTGGCTCAGTGCACCAACCTGATGATGGCCGTACAGAATGGTGACGTGTCTGCAGCTCATGAACTGTTGATCCAGGGAGTCCCCATCAATACCACAGACAGGTTCGGACGCACGGCTCTCCACTACTTGTGTCTATGTGACTACATAGATACCAGCATTTTGTCATTAATGGCGTGCAAACAATATGTAAACATGCCTGACAGGTTTGGTAACACAGCTTTACATTGCTTGTGTAGGCGAAGAGACAAGAAGGAAATTGTAAATATGCCACGTCTTCTCAAGATTCTCTTAGAAGCTGAAGCTGACGTGAACGTGCGAGATGAGTTTGGTTTCAGTTCTCTATATTACCTGCGAGGAGTTATGAGTTCGAAGATGTTGGACTTGCTGATGATACACTGCAACCAACTGAACGAGAACGACGGCGACGGTCTCACTCTCATGCACTATATGTGTGTAAAAGGGCAATGGGAATGTCTCAAAAAGATCATCAGTGAAGCTGATGATATGAACAAACCAAGCAGCAAGACCCTGTATGTAGAAAAAACTAACACTGTTTTTCCAAACGGGTCAACAGCTCTACAATTGGCGTGTATGTCAGCTAACATTACCGAAAACAATGTGCAGATGATGATACACAAGGGAGCAGATGTTAACATCAGCAACAAACATGGGCGGATTCCTTTGCATGTTCTGTCTACAGCACTTCCGGACATCAGTTGGAATGGAAAGTGGGTACTGAGAAGAAGTAGGGATCAAGAGAAACTGCACATTTGTCTTCTACTTCTGAGGGGAGGATCTGACATTCATAAACAGGACAAAGATGGCTTCACAGCTCTAGGAAATGTAAAGGTATGTTTCAAATGTCCTTCAAGGCTGTTAATCGTTAGATCTGTTGGCAACATTCTGTTTAAATAGATTGCGTGTTAACATCCATGCTTATCAAACATGATGAAATCTATTTCAGCACACACACACACATTGAAGAAGAATTCACAGTAACCATAGAGTCATACAATTTCGATTCGATCGCAGATAAAAGCGTCATTCAGACGTAATTCAGGGTGGTTACATTGGCAATGACGTTGTGCAGCAGGGGTGCATGATATGGGGCTATACTATTGTATGAAAATGTAAATTAATTGGTAACTCTTAAACGTCTGATAAAATGAAGCTACCATACTTGTATGTATAACATCATTTATTTAACAAATCACAGTGATGAAGAATGACAAGAAATGACTGGTGTGTTTATTGATGCAGGTTTTACTGGATTCTGTCAACAGTGCAATGGAAGGAATTCAAACAATATGTGATGAGGTTTCAGCGCTGATACAAAACAACAGTGTAGTTCATGATCTGCTCAAAGAAAGTGATATTGCAGAGACTGATATATTTGGAAGAACAGCTCTTCATTACCTGTGTCTGAGTGAGCACCCTCACCAGGCTGATTTCCAACTGGTACCATGCAATACTGACGTCAACAAAGCTGACAAGTGGGGTAGTACAGCCCTTCACAATCTGTGTAGGAGATATGACATTCAGCGGTTACCTAATTTGATACAATTACTTCAGATTCTGTTGGAATCAGGAGCTGACATAAACACGAAAGATGAGTATGGATACAGTTCTCTGTATTACTTACGTGAAATCATGAACGTCGAACTCCTAGGCATACTGATGTCACACTGCACACAGCTAAACGAAGACAACGGGGATGGCCTCACTCTCCTGCACTATCTCTGTGCGACAGGATCAAGAGAATGCCTAGAGATGCTCCTTGATTATGTCGATGATTTGGACAAAGAAGTGAGCCAGAATGTCACAAGCACAAGCGGTAATTGTGTTTTCGTTCAGGGTTTGACGGTCCTCCCGATTGCATGCATGACAAAAGGTGTTGACAAAGGTCTTATTGAGATGATTTTGCACAAAGGAGCTGATGTTAACACTGCTGACGTCCTAGGGAAAACGCCATTGCATTACATTTGTGAACGATCATTGGTGTTCAGGTGGAACAGAGCTTGGTCCAAGAAGGCTTTGACATGGCTAAGTACAAACAACGTCACCGTGTACTGCTTCTTGTTGGATCGGGTAGCAGAAGCACAGAAAAAAGACAACCGCCATCGTCCCCCAAATGCATCCATTTTACAAAATCGATGTCAATTTCAGGTTTGTTAATATTTGAAATATAATCGTTTCTTTCTTTTTTATTTAACGCCGCACTCAGCAATATTCCAGCTATATGACGGCGGTCCGAAAATAAACGAATCTGGTCCAGACAATCCAGTACGTGACACCATGAGCATCCATCCACGCAATTGGGATACGATAACATGCACCAACCAAGTCAGTAAACCTGACACCCGATCCCGTCAGTCGCCTCTGACGACAAGCATTGGTTGCTGAATCCCAATTCTAACCCGGATTCTTCAGGAGTCATTTGAAATATAAAGTCGTAATGAGATGCTTTGTTACAATAACGAAAATCGTAAATTTACTGAATTCTTAGAACAATTTAATATGCACAGTAGTTTTGTTTTGCATATTTCCAGGATGGTGTGTTTTTACTGAAGTTAAACAATTTACTCGCTTTCATTATCACTGATTGGTCGGTTGATATACATGTTACCATGATGTATTAATGTTCAAATTGAATACAGGAGAATCAATTTCAGACTACCCTCTATTTCAACACAGTTTATGTAATTTTATTCAAACAATGTCACCAGGTAACGGTCAAAATATCGACCATTTTGGATTTCGGAAAATGAGTCGGTCCTATCTACCCATTCGCTCAAATGAATATACAAAACTGATTTTTTTTTAAATAACACATGCCGCTTCTCATTCATAGCTCGAAGAACAGAAAATACAATTTAATATTTTTCCCCATTGGTGCATTTCTTCCCAGCAGGATGAAGAGGAGGCACTGACATTATCTGAGAATGACGCAAAGGAATATGACTTCCTTCTTGATGAAGAGGAACTTACATACCTGACAATGCTGCTCAAAGAAAGAGCAGAAGAAAGGATTTCTGAACCCAAATTTATTTGGGGTGACGTGGATACATTCTAAGATGAACAAATCTGATGAAAAGTGGAGGCAAAATATGTACAGTAAACTACGGTTATAACAAACTCAAAGGGATTACCAATTTTAGTTCGTTATAACCGTCAGTTCGTTATAAGCGTGTTCGTTATAACCGTAGTTTACTGTAATGTTGCAAACAACGCCGCCATGTACTGCTTGCTTTAGAAACTGCGAAACTCCATTTGCTAAATGTATAGTATAGAGTATACCATTTGGTGTATAAACAAAAATGTAAATTCATTTTTGGGCATTGTACAGAAATATCTAAATCTGAGTACAGACAATGTCTTTGAAACACCTTTTTTCTAGACATGTATAAGTTGTACTTTTATCTGGTTTGATTTTAGAAACCCTACAATGATGAAGTTGGTGTCTTGAAACAATTTCTTGTAAATATGGGGGGCGATTCGTTGTGCAGAGTTGCGTCCCTTTGGCACGACAGAAACCTATGATTGTGGGTTCGAATCCCGGTTCGACCCGATTATGTTTCTAGGTTTGTCAGCACCATACCCGGGCGAGTGGGTTTCACAGAAGTTGTAAACGTCTGAGACCTGCATCAAGCTGACACGCCGCGATACTGGAATACTGTTAAAAGCGGCGTTAAACCCAACTCGTTCACTCGTTCACTCACTCAAGAGGTATTTCCAAGAGATGAATACATGTGAGTTCGGCACGCATGAACACAAAGAACCTAAACCGTTTACTAGGTGTATATTATGCCTAATGTTTGTTTTATAACGCAGTGGACATTTTGTAGTCCATGTTGTGTCACAATTTGTCTTCAACTTTATACATTGTAGCGTCTCATTAAATACCATGCCGCAGTTTAACATGAATACCCCACTCAGACACAATATACTGACTCCGAGCCGACCAGTCCTTGTTTTAGCCCCTTAATGCCGAGCGCCAGACAGGGTAGCAACAAGTACCATCTTTTAACGTCTTTTGGTATGACGCGGTCGGGGATCGAACCCCGGACATTCCGCTCTCCGGGCGGACGCTCTACCACTAGACCCCGGAGGCGGTCGTAGTGAGAAAGGTCGTCCCGACATACCTGACATGATGAACCAGTTAGTGATGAGAACATGATTGACAAGTGATAGGTTTTATCTCCTAGGAGTTTTGATATGCTTAATTATGTTATACAAATTGATTCACTACAATGTATTTTTATGGGGTCATTCCTGTGTAAGATCGTATAATATCTTCACGGATATTCAGAACAACCAATGCTGTACACACGTTACTGACATTATTTTATATACATTATATACTGACATAGTTATGATTTAATGTATGTTGAACACAATATATTTCATTATGTACATAGTTCACATAAACGCTATGGTGTTACAACTATAAATATAACAAAACATGTCCATTCAAAATCTATTTAGAGAGAGATTTGACATATAGTTGTTGAGTGAGTGAGTGAGTATGGTTTTACGACGCTTTTAGCAATATTCCAGCAATATCACGTCGGGGGACACCAGAAATGGGCTTCGAACCCGGGTCTTCGGCGTGACGAGCGAACGCTTTAACCGCTAGGCTACCCGACCGCCCCCATATAGTTGTTGACCAAGTGTAGAACATATTAAACTGAAAACACAAAAACATATCCATGTTGACAACAACAAAAAACACAAAACCGCTGTGTTGCGATATTTCAATGAATGGGTTTGTTTGTACATAAGTGTGTGTAAATAGACCTCAAATGATTGTAGTATGTTCTAAACTAGCACATTTCCTTCATTTGTTGGGTTTATATGTTTGTGTATCAGTTGGTGTAAAAAGACTTGGGTTGTATACACCCCACCGAGCTGGGAATGAAAATTCTCACTGATCCATTGACCGGGGTAATAATAGTGTAGCGCTATGAGCAACCACTTGGTCAATGGAATCTGGCGCATTATAAATGCACTTATTATTATCATTATAATTATTATCATTACTAAAAGTTTGTAGCACGTTCCGAATGATCATGTGTCCCTCATCATCGGTTACTGATTTGTAGATTATTTAATTTTTTTCAATTTAACTCGCACATATTGTAGTTTCTTAGAAACGAAATAATGATAGAACAATATATGTCAAGGTTCCCTGGAGGGATGAAGAAGTTTACATGATACTATTTGTAATGTTTAACATTGTCTTGATTTCTGTATTCGTCTTCCATGTATTGCATATTGTCATAATGCATTAGTGTGTTTTACATTTGTACATAATTTATATATTGTTCTTGTTCTATTTCAAGCTGTATATCAATAGGTGAAATATTTGTTGTGGGCTTAATGTGTGACGTATTTATTTAGTAGTCTTTTCAGCTGACAGTTACATATACCCAATTACTAACAACTGGAACATGTGTGGATGTGAATATCAATGCTAAAATTTGACATTTTAGTAGTCGAGTTCATAAACAAGTGAGCTACCGTGCTTTAACACTTTTTATCAAAGACTTTCAAATAGATACATGCTGAAACAACATGATTATATTTGGACATGTTAAAAGTACCGTATTCGACGTAATAAGCACCCCGCTCTAATAAGCGCCCACGGCTATATTTATTAATATATTGGCTTGTGAACAATCTGAATTAGCACCCCTCCCGATTGATCAATGTACACAAGACTTATTTATTCGTGTAAAATACGCACTCGTGTGTTTTATGCACCCTTAAATATCGGTAATTAAATTCTGGAAAAATATATTTGTCGCATATGAACATTTCAGGCTGTCAGCATAAACCACGAAATTTATCTTTCAACTCTGTTTTTGTTCATCAAAATACTATTCTAATAAGAGACCCCTATTTCTAATTTTGAGAGCGCCGTGGGCGCTTATTACGTCGAATACGGTATTCCAGATTAGATTAAAAATGTTTGATATCAGACCTAAAGTATATACAATGTTACAATGAACATGTTTACGTGTGGTCGATTGAAAAAGGTTTATTCAGATCATCCCATCTACGCTTGTCCAAACTATGCGTTACGCACATCCAAGCATGCTCTTTGACCATTCAGTAGCGGTCATTGTTACTTAGTATCATATATTGTTTGAAAACCTTTAAAATATGAAAAAAAGATGTTGTGCTAAAACATAAATAGCGTGACACATTGAGTATAGCCTACATAGTATAAAAAGAAAACTACAATTGCAATTCATTCCTGATGTAGAACATATAATATCTACACGGATATTACAAAACACCAAATGCTATACAAACATTACTGACATGTTATATTTCTCATGCTATGATATACTGCTTGTGTATTGGACGTTTTATCATAAAACACAATATGTGTCATTATGTAAATAGTTAATTAATGTTGCAACTAAAAATATGAAAACATTTCCAAACGCCAATTTGAATAGACATTATGAAAGACCGTGGTAATCTTTTAAAGTTTTTATCATTAAGTTGTTGATCAACATCAAACGGCAAATACAAAAATCTATTCATGTTGACAAAAACCGTTGTGTTGATATATTACAATGGGACGGCATCTCTTAATATATGTGACCCGTGAACATCTGGGGTAGAATAGTAAAATGGTAAAAAGCGACCATGCTTGTCTTAAGAGGCGACTAACGGGATCGGGTGGTCAGACTCGCTGACATAGTTAATGCATGTCATCGATCCCAATTGATGTCAATTACTGGATTGTCTGGTCCAGACTCGATTATTTACAGACCGCCGTCATATAGCTGGAATATTGCTGAGCGGGGCGTTAAACAAACAAACAAACAAACAAATTTGAATATATCTTAAGTTGATATGTTTGTGCATATGAGTGTGTATAAATAGACCTACAATGATTGTAGCATGTTCAAAACCAACAGATTTCCCTCATTTTCTATTTTTTCTCGCATTTATCGTAGTTTCCTAGAAACGAAATATTGACAGAACTATAGTTATCATAGTTTCTCGGCAGGATAAAGCCAACGGATAAAAACGACATCCGTTTGGGTCATATGCGGAAAGAGATGCAAATATCAAAGGTCAAGTAGGGACTACTTTCAGTGTTTATAAACAAACATGGCGTCGCCCTTGTCATTCGGCGCTCGAGTCAGAACTAACCATCGTGAACCTGGATAAACTACAGAGATAATTGCTATCATTATCAAAAGAACAGTCTAATATACTGAAAATCAGTGTCTAATTGTGACGTAGCTAAGGCATTTTATAAGTTTTGGCAACTTTGGAGATATAAATTTCGAAACAATTTTGCGAGGGCACTAGGCCTAGCCAAGCGGGATCAGTAGCCACATCTGTGCTTGTAGACCTCTGCGGCTTGAAACCTTTTCCACAAATTAAAATAGTTGGATTTGGCCGAAATATGTTTGAATTGTTACCTTGTTTCGTTTTGTCGCTGTGTGTACATCTGATTGCACTTCTTAACGTTATGACAGAACAGGCCGACTGTCAACACCGCCTGAACGTTGCCGTGACGTCTCATAGACTCGGATTAGAGTAGCTTCCCTTTGACAAAGGGCAGCTACTCTAGCTGACAGACCGATGGATTGCCGCGAAATGCAAGTAAAAATAACTTGTTGTTTTGAGTATATGTTGCTTCGCCACTGTATAAGAAACAGATTTCAGTTGGAACTATATTCGATACCGCCACTGTCCGACTGACACATCACTTACCCTGTGACGTAATAAATATCAATGCGCGAATTCCAGGAAAACTCGCAATGTTTAGGTTTGTGAGAGAGGGAAAGCGATTTTCAAGCACAGAATTAAAGAATGACATTATATGATAAAGAGGTTATCACGCTTGTGTGTTTGGGGATGGTAAATATCCTGTATTAGGAATAAACACTATGTATTTAGCTCGCCAAGGCTCGCTAAATACAATGTTTATTCCTAATGCAGGATATTTACAATCCCCAAACACACAAGCGTGATAACCCCTATACATGTATATCAAGGTGATAGGTTATAATGTCTGACAATTGGAATGAGCCCTGCCAATTGGAGGAATGAAGAAGTTTACATTATACTATTTTCAATTATCAACATTGTTTTCATTTCTGTAGTCGTCTTCCATGTAATTGCATA